ATACTTTGGCTGGCTCTTGGGAACCTACTCCTCATACTGGATTGCCTTGTTCAGCCTTAATACAAGGGGAGTCTTACTGAAACTTGAAATGCCATGCTTTGTCATGGGAGGCCTGTCCCTTTCCGCACAGAGACAGAGGAGTGAGTGGACTGAGGGGAGCGGGGCAGAGCAGAGGTGAGGGGAAAGAGAAGGGAAGGGAAACTGTGGTTGGGATGTAAAATAAACAAATAAATAAAACTGCTTCAAAAACAGAAGAAATAAAACATGTGGCCAAGTCCAGTGGTACAGGACCTCTCAGTACCCAGGAGGCACAGGCAGGAGGATTGTGAGTTCAAGGTCAGCCGGGCCTATAACGAAGAGCCTGACTCATCTTCACCCTCTCCCTGTAAAAATAATAATAATAATAATAATAATAATAATAATAATAATAATAATAATAATAAAATAAATTTTAGAAATTGTGTATGTGGTGGGTGGGGACACGTTCTCAGATGAGGCTAAGTAAAGAGGAACGACAGAGCAGCAACATCGGCTGTGGAACACAGACTGCGCCATCTGGCTAGAGCCTCACAAGTGTGTAGTCGGGGGCAAGGTTACAGAGACAGCACGTCACATCTCTGGGTTTGGATTTCACCACGTGAGGATGGGAACTGTTGAAAGCATGTGCCATTTCAGCTCCGTCCCGCACTAGCCATGGGCATTTGGTCAATCGGATCACTTCCCTGGTGCACAGATTTTGCAAATCTGTAAAAGGGAAACTTTCTTGCAAGGTTGCCAGGGGGAGAATGCGATCTCGTGCCTGAGGTGTTTAGCACAAAGCCCTGCGCAGGTGGCACTCACCAAAAGGTACAACTTTATCTGCAGGCTTGTGAGGAGAGAGAGAGACCATGGAAGGAGCAGACAGCGCTGAGACTTCAGGTGGAAGCCCTGCAGGCAGAACGGGACATGGCAGAGCATGACCTGGTGACCCTCTATGACCTGTATGTGCAGGCCACCCGGGCTCGGACATGCCACTTGCTGCAGGTCAGTGGAGACAGAGGGTAGGCCTTAAGTTGGTGCCAAGGCTGATGGACCAACAGGCATCTCTGACTCTGAACACAGGTATTCCAAGCCTGGCAGAGGCTGTGGGAGGAGAAGGCCGTGGCCACAGAACACCATCACCGCAGTCTGCTGGCTGGAGTCCTCCAAGACTCCATTGATCTGGCCTTGAAGACCCAGGAGCTCCAGGCCAGGAACCAGCAGCTTGAGCAGAGTGCAGGCAGGGCCCATTGTGCTGGAGTCCTGCCCGGAGAGGAACCTGATCAGGACCACCATGGGGCTGCCTTCCTTTGTCCTCATTCATGAGGGCCCCAGAAAGGAGAGCAAGGTGGGGAACATCAACCAAGATGGCCGTCATTACAGATCATTACCACCATCACTAACCACGTCTCTTTGTACCAATCTCTGCTAAGCACCCACTACCTATTATTTCATTTTGTGTTTTCAGCTCCCCTCTGTTTGTTCCATTTGACCCTCATTTCAGAGATGACCCGTCCTAGGAACTGCCCAAGGACCATGAACTAAATAGAGAAGGAAGAGTTCTCTTCCTCCTCTTCCTCTCGTGCTAGGGATGGAACCCAGGGTCTGTGCGTGCCAGGTATCTTCTGGAATTTGCTATATACCTAAGGATGACCTTGAATTACTGGGTCTCCTACCTCCAACTTCTGAGTGCTGGGATTACAGGCTGGCACCAGGACAACAAAAGAACTCTTGAAAAGCTCACCCAGTGGTCTAGGGAGCAGGCTGACAGTCCTCTGGCCAGGATTTCAAAGGACAAACAACTACAGGTACTAGTCATGACAGAACCAGAGGGAATAAGAGTCAAAACAGTGGCTGGGTAGGGAGTTTCATGAGCACAAACTCTACACTCTGGAATCTGAGGTAGGAGGATTGCTTCCAATTTGAGGACAGCCTGGGCTATCTAATTCATTCCAGGCTAGTCTGGACTACAATGTATTTTCTAGCCTAATTTGTTCTAATGAGCAGAATACTTTTCAGTCCCAAGACTCTCTCAATTCCCTAGGGCTTGTGATTTAAACATTTTTTTTTTTTTTCCAGTGCTGGGGATCAGACACAGGGCTTACACATGTAGGCAAGTGCTTGTCTATTGAACTACAACTTCAGTCCTTCATTTTCTTTGAGATCACTCTAATGTAGCCTACCTAGGCTGGCCTTTCATTAAAAAAAATATTTTTAGCCAGGCAGTGGTGGTGCACGACAGCATTCAGGAGGCAGAGGCCAGCAGATCTTTGTGAGTTCCAGGACAGCCAGAGTTGCTACATAGAGAAACCCTGTCTTGAAAAACCAATGTATATATTTAATTATTTGTTTGTAGGAGGCCACAGGTGTCAGATTCCCCCTGGAGATGGAGTTATGGGTGGCTGTGGCTGCCTGGGAATCGAACTTGGGTCCTCTACAAGAGCAGCATGCAATCCTAACCACTAAGCCAGGCCCACCTGCACTCTTGCTCCTTCTGTCTCTGCCTCCCAAGGAGAGGTACAAGTTTGCATCACTAACCATCAATGCTTCCTTTCCTGAGACAGGGGCTCATTAAGCAGCTCAGCCTGACTTTGAACCTGAGCTCTTCCTGCTCTACCTCCCAGATGGCTGGGATCCCAGGTGTGCCCCACCATAACCGGTCAAGACAGTCTCAGATCCAGAGCTCCCAAGACAACGCCACTGTCAACAGCTGGGAGATTTCTCTCTTACTCTAGATGTTACTCCAAAATTACTTAGGAAACTCAGGGAAATTGTTTGAGGGGATCCATGAAACATAGAAAACAGAGACAATGTGAATGGTTGTAGGAAGCACCCTACACCTGAACACTTTATTAAGACCTTATTGCTTAAGTAGTTGGACACTGATTAGCTATAAACGTTTTCTGTACCTGGCCCCTGGTTACTCTGCAGAGCCTTTCCTGGCTGTTGGGAGCTGGGACACCACTAGAAGGGGGCAAGAGTGGGAAAAACAGTACCTCCTAAATGCCTCAGAGGTGAAGTGGGCTCCACCAGGGCCCCCGAGTTAGCACAGGGGCAGGAGTGTAGGCTTAAGCCAGGGCCCAGGGACATTGTTCCCTGAAGTGAGTCAAGACCCAGCCCTCCCTGACCTTTCCAGAATAATGGCCGGGTAAGAGGAACAGGCTGTGGAGCAGGCAAACTAATGTATCTCATGTGGAAGTCATGCTGGGCTGGAGCAGCCATCACCAAGCCTCAGGGCAGGGAGTCTTCAGGAGTGACCGACCACACAGGCGAGAAGAGCGAAACTTGACTTGAAGTCGCCATGTTCATGCAGGACAAGGCAGGGTTCCTCAGGGACAGGCTGCCCAGGCCTGGGTCTGGGGCTTCCAGTTCTTCAGTATGAAGGAATACAGGGGTGCAGTTAGGTATTTCCTTAGCCAAGCCCACTCTTTATGCCATGTAGGGGTAACTCTCACCCACCTGAACATCCAAAGGCTAACATGGCCACCTTAGCTTTCCTTACAAGGCACTTGGTACAGGGCTGCTGGGGCGGGGTGTGGTGGTGACGTGGGAGGTGGCTCTGGTGGCCGCATCTGATCTACACAGCCACAAGTGAGGGTGGGGGCGGTCAGGGCCTTAGGGGCCACCATAGTACAAGCACACAGCCAGGCCGATGAGCAGTGTGGCCAGGAAGAAGACGGCTGTGAGCTGGAGCTGCAGCAGCGCAGCCGAGAGCAGGGCGTTGACCACCAAGGAGCAGGACACGACGAAGAGGCGCGTGATGCTGCTGCCATGCTTCATGACAGCTGACATGAGCAGTCCATTTGCTGCCTGGTTCAGCACCACGAGCACCGCCCATCCAGAGAAGCCCTCTAAGAAGCCTGGGCCCGGGCCACTGCCCGCATAGAGTCCAAGGTTCAGGATCACCCCGAAAGTGTAGAGGAAGAGGTTCTGAAGAGCCAGGGGCAGCCGCTGTCGCTTCATGACCAGTTCTGTGTACACCGAGGACAGGCCGGAGATGAGGCAGTACAAGATGAGGAGCGCAAGTCCCAGTGGAGTGATGTGCAAGGGCATGGGCTGGGCTCCGGCTGCTGACGGGGGGCCGGGAGGGGTGTCGGCAGGTTCCTGAAAGCCGCCGGATGCGTAGCAGGCTCCTGCAGCCATCAGCAGCAGCAGTGCCAACCCCTGACGTGCCGAGAGGCGATGCCCAAGGCAGAGGCAGTACAACAGAGCTGTGCTTCCAATCTTGAGATTGCTCAGCACCTGATAGGTGCTGGGGTCCATGTAACGCTGCAGATAGATCACCAGGTTGTTGTTGGCGCCATAGAGCAGGGCTGAGAGTGCAAAAGGCGCAGCCTGGCGCCAGGGTGGTGTGCCCTGGGGCCATGTTTGCCAGCCCACCAGGAGGGAGAAGGCGCATAAGAGTAGTTTGGTCAGCTCAGTGAGTAACACAGCTGAGGAGGGCCGGAAGGGCACTCGGCCATCCACGTGGCACAGTGCTAAGAATGGTGCATGGGCACCATACATGGCAGTGGACAGGAAGAGCATCAGGGTCCAGCGAGCCTGTCTTGGACGGGCAAGGCCTGGCATACCCCCATCTTCTACACTCATGGCCCACACCAGACCCTGGGTGGTCTGTGTAGCTAGCAAGGGACAGAGGAACTGGGACACACTGGAAGGAAACCGAGGGCAGAACTGTGGGACATCACCAGAGAGCACACTGAGGATCAGAGTCAGTCACACACTCCACAGTCAGGGCTTGAAGAGAGGGCTCATGTCCCGCAGTTTGGGGGTTAGTCCCGCGGAACTAGGGAGGGAAGGTGTGCAGGGTGCAGGCTGGCAAACCACTGCCCACGCTCTGCAGGGAGAAAAGCAAGGAAGAAAAAGGCAGGAGAGGTGGAGACAGCAAATGAACAACAGCAGGGGGAGCCAGAGAGAGTGTCCGTGATACCAAGGCCTCTACCTGCAGGCCCAACGCGCTCATCCTGCCTTCCCCAGAGGGTCTAGTCAGGCCCCTTTCGTAGTGACCTAATGTAGTTCTTCAGCGTCTTCTCCACGTTGGGTACAGCGTATGACTGAGCTGCGTAGATGCCAGTGCATGTGCCCACCGCAAAGCCCAACACTGCTGACGCCCTCAATTTGGCCACCACATAGCCTGCCAGGAATCCCTTGAGGAATGGGGAGGACAAGAGTGAGCCATCCTGCAGGGAAAAACACAGAAGGAAATCAGGCGTGCTCTCTTTTTAAGATGGGCTTAGACCATTCGGCCGCACGCTTGTCCTCACTCGTCCTCTTTTCTCCAAAGATTATCTCAAAATTCTGGAGCTAGAAGAAGAATGCCAGCGTCCCAGTCACACAATACCAGAATCCCAGGTTCAGAGGGCTCTAACCAGAACGCATTCAGCCAGAATGCCAGAGGGGCTTCTGAGGAACCTGAGCCCTGCCTGTTTCTCCCGTTTCATTTACTAGCAGGGTCTCTGATGACTACGAACTAACTGCCTTTCTCCCGCTGCCTGTTCAGATTGCTGCTTATCACCACGGCTGTGTCTGTCCAGTACTTGGGATGCTCGGTCCCACTTCACCTATTTAACACCTACTCGGGATCTCAGCTCAAATGCTATTCTTTCCTCCCCTGTTGGTTTTGAGATAAGGTCTCTTGTGTTTAGCACTGGCTGGCCTACAATCCTCTACATGGACCACTTTGGCCTTGAACTTGTGTGCACCACAATACCCAGTTCAAGTGCTCCCCCCCCAACCCCCCTTGCAGGGAGATTTCTCTTGAGCCCTCAATGCCCATTTGCTACAATAAAAGTCTATCTCCTATTCAACATTCCCAAGAGCAACTGGGGGCCTTACCTGGCCTACACCACTGTTGACTTCATCCTCCACACGCTTCTGTAGGCGCTCCAGCTGCTTCTTGAGAAATGTCAGGTCCTTAAGCTTGGGCAGAGAATCCTAGGACAAGGGAGAGGCTGGCTCCAGCAGACTTGACCCAGTCCCATGCCCTGCTCAATTTTATCAGAGGCTAGGAACTAGGTGAGCTGTGGGAGGGATGATGGGAAGAACCAAATAAATCTCTTCCTACAAAACCTCCCTGAGATGGCCATGATAAAGGAAGACAGACACTGGAAAGCTAAGCCCTCACATGGGGGCCAGGGAGGTGACAATGTGCATCAGGAACTTTTTTTTTTTTTTTTGGTTTTTCGAGACAGGATTTCTCTGTGTAGTTTTGGTGCCTGTCCTGGAGCTCGCTCTGTAGACCAGGCTGGCCTCGAACTCACAGAGATCCACCTGGCTCTGCCTCCTGAGTGCTGGGATTAAAGGTGTGTGCCACCGCCTCCCGGCTGCACCAGGAACTTATAATTCTACAGAATCACAGAGCAAGCAGAGAAACTTCCAGTTAGCTTTATGCAGGAAATACTATTGCTGGAGGTACAAGCTTGCTGAAAATGGCCATTAGTCAGCTTCCACTGCTGTGTCCCAGATATGAATACATCTGTGGGTGATGCTGGGCTTCTAGACCAACTGTGAAGAATGGGTTTCCGGTACAGTTCAAGGCTAACCTGGTACCTATCTGCTTAGGCCGTTTCAAACTGAGAGACGACGTGGATGTGTCGCGAATGCCTGTCAGCAAGAGTGTAATGAGATGACTCTGTCTGGTGGCTCGTGAGAAGGAAATCCAACGAGTGAGCGAGAAGAGCCGAATGAGGGGGGCGGTAAGGGGTGGGATGGAAATGCCGTCTCTGGAAGGGAGACTTCAGGGCTAGACGACGGCCGGAACGAGCATTGCTACAGTGAACACATCTGAACGTGTGCTCACGCCGAGGTACCGTGTCGGTTCCCAGAAGGGTAGCCCTTCGCCTGAAGCCCCCTCCTGTTGAGGCGGTTGACAGGAGCCCAGGGACAAAACGTGAATTACCCCTGTCGTCTCTGCTCAAATCTAAAAAGGTTAAGGAATCTGGAAAACCACACCGACCGAAGAAGCAGCCCTCGCTTTCCACTCACCTTGTCATCCGCCATCTTTCCCCCCGCCGGACTTGTTGCGCACGCGCAGCCCCGCCTCCCTGTGTCAAAGGCTACTTCCATCTTTACTGAGGGCAGACGCACTTCCGGGGCATTTCGGGCGGGGCGGGCGGAAGGGGGAGGCGGGGCGTTTTCCGAGTGGCTCCAGGCTGCGCGGGCAGATACGGCCCCCGGCCCCCTCCCGCCTGGTCCTCGGCGGTGTGCGCGCGCGGGGAAAGGTCGTGGCGTGATGATCTCATGCTCCGCGCGGATGATCTCATCCGCGCCCCGGTGCACATAGTGCACGTCCTCGCCCGTCTTCCGCCGCCGTCTGAGGAACTCCCAGCGGCCTGCGGGTGCGGAGTTCGTAGGGCCGGTGCGCTTCGTAGGACACACGCACCGAAACACGCGAGGACGCGGGGACCCAGACGCCGCGGCGCAGGCAGCTCAGGCCCGCCTCCGCCCTCCCCCAAGGCCGGCCCAGTCCCGCCCCGTGTTTGCGCGGCGCCAGTTGGCCCGGCGGTCTCCGGCGCAGAGGCTGGGCTTTGGGGCCCCGCAGCTCCGGAGGTCGCCCTGGGCTGAGAGCGCAGGCCGTCAGAGGCTATGTTGGGCAAGGATTATATGCTGGCCATCATTCTGGTCAACTGCGATGGTGTGCACCGAGGGTCCGGCTGGGAGGACCAAAAACCGAGGGGATATGAGGGCTGGAAGAAGGCTACCCGAGGCTCAAACACGGGGTGGGGGTGGTGGCGTCTCGGGGGAATGAGAACCGGGGGATAAGTGAACCTTGATCCTTGCATGTGCTGTCTTTACGACTGGGGAGTTGAGATCTAGGTTTAGGGCTGTGGGATGGAGGGAGGGTTATGGCGGTATTGTTGGGAACTCACGAGAAATATGCCCCTTGATTTAATCCCTTGTTCCTATAGATGACTTGTGGGGGGACCAAAATCTGGAGGGGGAGACAGGATTACCCCCTGGCTGGAGAAAGATTCGTGATGCTGCAGGTACTTATTATTGGCATGTACCCAGCGGTAGCACTCAGTGGCAGCGCCCAACCTGGGAACTAGGAGGTGCAGAGGACCCAGGAACGGTAGGTAGAACCGAGGAGGGGGCCTGAGCTCATGTGTGGACCTAGGCCTGCTGCTACAGTAACTATCCTCTACTCCATAGGGGACGGAGGGGATTTGGGAACTTCGACCCCCCAAGGGGAGATCCTTCTCCAGCCTGGACAGTTCATTGAACCGGAGGTAACAGGGGTGGCCTTGGCCAAATGAAAGCCTTGGGGGTTACTGTGGCACTCAAAAGAATCAAGCTGTACCTACAGTCTACTTTTTTTTTTTTTTTTTGAGATAGGGTCTCAGGTCTCACTGTGTATGTAGTCCTAACTGGCCTGGAACTCATTATGTAGACCAGGCTGGCCTGGAACTCACACAGATGATACAGCGCCTGCCTCCACAATTTGCTTTTAAACTGGTTCTGGGCCGGGCGGTGGTGGAGGCAGAGCCAGGTGGATCTCTGTGAGTTAGAGACCAGCCTGGTCTACAGAGCGAGATCCAGGACAGGCACCAAAACTACACAGAGAAACCCTGTCTCGAAAAAACCAAAACTGTGGTTCTGGACTCTGCCCGTTTAGGGCTCTGTTTGTGCTTGGCTTTGTCCCATGTTCTTGACTCCTGGGTATTTTGAATTTTGTCTGTTCCAAGTTCTTATCATTAGCTCTATGTTCTGTGTTCTCTGTCCTGGCCCATCATGTTCTAATAGACCCTGTCCATTGGCTTCATTTGGGGGGTGTCCCTATTTGTGTTCTAGAATCTCTTGTTCTAGTTTGAGGCTTTTGTCCATATCTTTAATTCATGTCCATATTTATGTCTTTTAGTTTATGCTTGTGTCTTGTGTCCTGGATTTCTTCAATTTTTAAACTCATTTTGTTAATGTACTATGTTCTGGGTCTTCCTTTTTTTCTGAGTTTGCATTTGTGGTGCTATATTTTGGTTCTTGTCCCAAATTCTGTGCTTGATCAAGTAGGCTAGGTTTCACCATTGCCCCTAATGTAGGAATCCTAATCCTTTTACTGGCTCCACTCTGTTCCAGTAACTCTCTAACATGGTATGGTGAAGATTCCTATGTCCGGAGCCTGGAGCCGGGAGCTAAGGTAGTGTTTGGACCTGAGGGCCAGTTTAAGACATTAGGAGATGTCAAGGGAAAGGTCAGGGGTGGAATAATAATGAGCGGGGTTGATTAAGTGTCAAGAATAGGACTACCAGAGTTTATCAGTATGGATCCTGTATCATCCACTTCACATCTGGTCACTTCTTTTTCCCTATCTGGTTAGTGCTTTGCAGTCCGATCTCTGGGCTGGGTAGAGGTACCTGAGGAGGACCTGGCACCAGGGAAGAGCAGTATTGCTGTCAATAACTGTATCCAGCAGCTCGCTCAGACTCGCAACCGGAGCCAGCCCCATGACGGGGCCTGGGGTGAGGTGAGTTGTTTTATTTCCCTAGGGGTTCAGAATGCCAATGGCTTAGCAAAGTACGTTTTCCCTGAATTGCTTGTTTGCCGTGTTAGCCGTTTTCAGCTGTCAGCTCTCTGTCCTTGGCAGGGCCAGAACATGTTGATGATCCTGAAGAAAGATGCCATGAGCCTGGTGAATCCCCTGGACCACAGTCTGATCCACTGTCAGCCTCTGGTTCACATCCGTGTCTGGGGTGTGGGCAGCTCCAAGGGCCGGTGAGGACTCTGCGTTCCCCCAAGCGAGAGTTGCATCACCTTCCCCCCTTGCAGGCTGTGATCCCCACTGATGCTGAACCCTTGGACACAGATCCTCTGATGTGGACCCAGCATGGCCTTCCCTGCCTGGTTCAGTCCTGGTTGGGGTGGGTGGGCCCAGCTCAGCAGGGACAGATAGGGGAGAGTCTGAGAGGCTGGGCTGATTTTATCCTGTGCTCCCACATGCTTCTGGAACAGTGACAGGTATGTGACAACTAGGTACTCTGAGCCCTATCCCTAACTTCCCCATTCCAACTGTGCCATATCTTTAACCTAACTTTAGAAGCTTCTTACAGGCACTCAGAAGCCCCTGCCCCTAACCAGCCTTATCCCTGCCCCTGCCAGGGACTTTGCCTTTGTTGCGGGTGACAAAGACAGCTGTATGCTCAAGTGCCATGTGTTTCGCTGTGATGTGCCTGCAAAGGCCATTGCAAGTGCCCTACAGGGACTCTGTGCACAGGTGAGGGCCAGTGGTGGGCAGGGAATATGGAGTTGGGATAGGGTGGGCTTGGCCCCGTGTCCTGACTTCTCTTTCTTTCTGTGTGCCTCATGCTGGCTGCACTGTCTTTTAGATCCTGTCAGAGAGAGTAGGAGTCAGTGGAGAAGCTGCTTGCTGTTCTCCAGATCCTATTTCCCCTGAAGACTTCCCGAGGCAAGGTATGGGAAAGGGCTCGCTGCATTGATTGCAACATGAGGCTGCTTGAGGGAAAGATGGAGGGCCTGGGGTTCCTGGCTATTTAGCTTCTCCCTGGAGAGAGAGTCTAGATCCAAGATCCAAAGCAGTGAATTGAAGGTACATCTCCAGGTTTTCTTCCACAAGCAACAGCTCTAGCTTGAGACCTGGCTCATTCATTAGGGTAGAGAAGCTAGGCATGGTGAGGCATGCCTGTAATTCTAGCGCTTGGAAGGCAGAAATAGGACTACTGTCATAAGTTTAAGGCCAGCCTGTTCATCATAAGTTCTAGGCCAGCCAGAGCTGGTTACATAGCGAAAGCTGTACATAGTAGTGTAGTCCTAAACTATACCACAGGAAGGGTGGGGAAAGGGGCAATTGAGTTTCTATGCTAGATTGGTGCTTGATATGTGTATTTCAGTGGAATTGCTGGATGCAGTGAGCCAGGCTGCTCAGAAGTATGAGGCACTGTACATGGGGATCCTACCAGTCAACAAAGCCATGGGTGAGGACTGGGGGCTGGATGGGCTGGGATGTGTTAGGAGAGGGAAGATGGGTGAGGTGAGATCTATACTGTATTGAGTCTTAGAGTTCTTGCATGGCCTTATATAGTTAGAGATATACCCTTGCTTCCAACTCAGAATTCCAAGCTCAGCCCCAACTATTCTTTCTCCATCTTTCTGAATTCCAAGTAAATTAAAGGGTCCTAGAAACTCCCTGCAGACCCTTTCTATCCAAGCCAGACAGCACAGTAGGCATGTCTCCTCAGGTATGGATGTGCTGAATGAGGCCATTGGTATCCTCACTGCCCGGGGGGACCAGAAAACCTGGGTCCCTGCTGTGCTCAGTGTGTCTGACTCTCTGATGACTGCACATCCCATTCAGGTACCACAAGAGGTCGAAGTCTGGGGCTCTGGAGGGTGAGCAGACATGCTGAGGTGGGGGTGTGTCTTTTCTTGGTTCTGGAAGTATAGGGTTTGGCCTTTGCTTAACTCTATAGTGACTAGCCTTTGTGTGGGCAGGCAGAGGCCAGTGCAGAGGAAGAGCCACTGTGGCAGTGCCCTGTGCGCCTTGTAACCTTTATTGGTGTTGGTCGTGATCCACATACCTTTGGCCTCATCGCTGACCTTGGTTGTCAGAGCTTCCAGTGCGCAGCCTTCTGGTGCCAGCCTCATGCTGGGGGACTCTCTGAAGCTGTGCAAGCTGCCTGTATGGTGAGTTAGGGATGGAATGGGAATGGGAGGGGGTTTTCCTGGCAGCTGCTCTGTACTATGGAGCAGGCTCAAGATGGGCAGCTCCACTTAAATCACAACCCAGCGAACCCAGGGCCAGATTGGGTTCACAGGTATATCTGGCTCTTCATGCTGTTTTTGCCAAGTTTGTGTTAGTTACCAATACTTCAAAGTCTAGGGCATTTCACATAATAATTGCTGTTTCTGATTTCTTAAAGTACAGGGAATACTAATACAAGGTACACACGCACAAACACTCATGGGCATACTTACATAACACCTTTCAGCATGTGGGTGAAGTTGTGCTATACAGAGTGGGCACTATTTGACTGATTCAACATACTTCTTGGTGTATGTGGGCATTTGAATGTAGGATGCTTGCGCTACATTAATTCAGTTCACTTATTCATTCAGCAAATGGGTATCTACTATAATTAATCCTGAGAATTTCTTGATATAGGAGGTACACACAGCCTTTGCCATAACAGAACAGAGCAGAAACACATCCGAAACAAGTTACACATCACATGATGATGGAGATGCTTCCTTAAAAGGCAGAAAGGCCACCTGAAGGGGGAAAAGAAAAGGTACCCAAAGAAGTGTGCCAGGTGAAGAGACATAGGGCAGAGATACCAGAGAACCTCAGGAGTAGACAGGAGAGAGAAGTTAGTGTGGTAGAGTCCTGAAGAACATGGTGTGGGTGGTCTGCAAGAGGATGTGATGCTAGATGAGAACAGAAAGAATGACAGAAACAGGTCATGAGAACCTTATAGATTAGCCTGGGGCACTGAGTTGAAGGATTTTAAGCAGGACAGTAAAGTGAGATCTGTAGATTTTACCTGCTTAAGCTCAGTGCAGGTAAACAAGATGAGGTAGGAAGGCTAAGTAATTAGTATCTGCTCTGAGTAATTTAAATACGAGTTTGGTTTATAGACTTTCTCTTCACTAGAGAATCTGTTTTGCCAGATATTGTTACAGAACAGTGAGAGATGGAGGAGAGTCTCTTCTGGTAGGTTTAGTTAATAGTGCAAGCTTTGGCCAGGTAGTGGTTGCATACACCTTTAATCCCAGCACTCGGGAGGCAGAGGCAGGCGGATCTTTGAGTTTTCCAGGCCAGCCTGGTCTACAGAGTGAGTTCCAGGATAGCTAAGCCTGCAGAGAGAAACTGTGTCTCGAAAAACCAAAAAACAAAGTGCAAGCTTTGTAGCTGGACAGACTTACAACTGAATGCCACAACTAACATTTTCTATTTGTTTGACTTAGACCAGTGGTTCTCAATCTTCCTAATGCAGCGATCCTTTAATACAGTTCCTCATGTTGTAGTGATCTCCCACCATAAAGTGATTTCATTGATACTTTGTAACTGTAATTTTGCTACTGTAATATAAATATGATTATTTATAATGTAAGTAAGTGAAATCTGTTATGTAGGATATCTGATATGTGACACACACACCCCACACACACACACAGGTTGAGAACCACTGCCTCAGGCAAATCATTTATCTCTGAACCTTGGTATCTTCATTTGCAAGATGAGTACAGCAATCCCTCACAACTAACTAGGTTAAATTATAATGTAAAGCACCTGACACAGTGTCTAACTTTCCTTAAGTGCACAGTAAACATCATGTTTTATGTTTTTGTTGTTGCTATAGGGACCAAAGACATGACTATGGACATGATATCAGACCCAATTCTCGGCCAGTTACCTGCCTTAGAGAAGCTTTCAGTTGTCCAAGGACAGAAAGCTGGATACTCACACTCCCCCTTCTTCCTAGGTTCAATACCAGAAGTGTCTGGTGGCCTCAGCAGCTCGGGGTAAGGCCTGGGGTGCCCAGGCCCGTGCCCGCCTTCGGCTCAAGAGGACCAGCTCCATGGACTCCCCTGGTGGCCCCCTGCCTCCCCCCCTATTCAAAGGAGGGGTTGGGGGGACTGGAGCAGCTCCTCGAAAGAGGGGCGTCTTCTCATTCCTTGATGCCTTCAGGCTAAAACCTTCTCTTCTCCATATGTCCTAAATTGATCTTAGAGGCTGGGGAAGGAGGCTCTGTATTCCTCCAGTCTCCAGGGTTCTGTAGCCGCTCACCTTCCTACCTATCCCTGAACCTCGCCTCCCCTGTATTTATTAACAAGTTCGTTGTTTATATGGATGACTGAGAGGCCCTGCACTATAACTTTGGCCCCTGGCGCCCTTTTCCTTGGGTCCTTTTGTTCCTTGCCCCTGTCCAACCCTGGACAATTGGCTCTACCTCAGCAACTTTATAGCAGAATCAGTGCAAATAAAAGTCCCTCAGTGACCTCACTAGTTGTGAGTGTATTAGACATGGGATAATGTTGGGGCCATCAGCCTGTGTGAGGTGGGTACATGATTGGTGTTGGTGACTGCCTTTAGTCACGAGGGCATGGTTCATAATGGAAATCTGACTACATTCATTCAGCAAACACTTTTTACGGATTTTTTCTGTGTCAGATATTGAAGTAGCATATTTGTTACTATTCCTCCTGAGACTTTCAGGGGAGAAACGACCAAATCAGAGAAGCAGAAGATACCAGGAACTACCAGAGGGTTGTGGGAGCTCAGATGAGACTTGTCCAAGGCATTTCAGAAGACTTCTCAAGAGCTGACTTATTTGAGTGCTGAAGAAGCTCTTGTTAGTACGCCTAGAGCAAATGTAAAAATTGTGCAGGGCAGTCTGCTGATACGCGAACTTCCAGAGGTTGACGTGGTTAGGTCCAGCGGGTACTTAAGGTGTTTGAATTTGCTCCTGAGAGCTAACTAGGAGCCATCAGAAAAACCTACCTGTTTGGTGCCCTGTGACAAGGCCTCCAGATCATTAGCCAGTTGCCCTTGAAGGAATTGGTGCCCAGCTCTCTAGGCAGCTCCTCCCAGACCGTCCGGCAAAGGCTGAAGTGAGTGAGCTACCGCCCCGGAAGTGACGCGCTGCCCCGCTGGCGGTGCGGAAGTGGAGATGGCGGAGCTTTACGTGAAGCCGGGTGAGCGGGCTGGGGGGTACTCGGTGCGAACTCTTCCGACTCCCCCCGACCCCAGAGTAGTTTCCACGGGGTTCCTGGTCGGTCTCGTTTCACACACTTCCTTGCCTTCGCAGGCAATAAGGAACGCGGCTGGAACGACCCTCCGCAGTTCTCGTACGGGCTGCAGACGCAGACTGGTGGACCCAGACGCACGCCCCTTACTAAGAGGGTCGCAGCCCCGCAGGATGGATCCCCTAGAGGTGCGTAAGGGCCGTGGGCGGAATCCTGTACGGAAAGTTGGTGTCTGGGATAAACCTGTCCCATCGGCCTGTTTTCTTCTTCCAAGGACTCGATTAGGAGAGGGGTTGGGATCCAGTAAGAGGCACAGCGCAGGCGCTTTCCGAGCCCGTTCTTTCTGCAGTCCTGGTCAGTAAATGGTATATTAGACTAAGGACTACGCTCATTCAGACTGTTTTCAAATGTTTCCTGTCTGGATCTCTTCCCAGGATCCTATGGTCTTTGTGTTATAAGCATCTCAGACTGTGGTACTTACTCATTTGTTTAATTGGTATCTACTGAGCACTTTTCTAGCAAGAGCCAGGAACGGTTTGAGTCCAACACAGGAGTGAAACGCAGTGAACAAGCTAAAATGTCTTGGTAGGGACTCTGAAAACGGGGAAGCAATGCTTTCCAGGTAACTAAGGTGTCGGGGTTGTTATTTGAGCAAACACGGAGTGTGACTAAAAGGCACTAAAAGATGCAAAAAACATTTCAAGCAAAAGAAACAGGTAAGTGCTAACGCTGAGGTGAGAATAACTTTGCCTGGTTTAGAGTGCTCCAAAAATGATGTTTTGTTTAGCTTTTTTTTTTTTTTTTTGGTTTTTCGAGACAGGGTTTCTCTGTGTAGCTTTGCGCCTTTCCTGGAACTCACTTGGTAGCCCAGGCTGGCCTCGAACTCACAGAGATCCGCCTGGCTCTGCCTCCCGAGTGCTGGGATTAAAGGCGTGCGCCACCACCGCCTGGCTTGTTTTGCTTTTTAATGGAGAGTTGGAAGACAGTTTTGGAGGTGGTGGGATGCATGCAATATTTGATTTGATGTAATGGGCTTGAACATTATCCCCAAAGGAGAGGGTGTGGATTTTCAGACCTTGTCTAAAAAAAACAAAATAGAAAGTAAAGGGATTTTGGTAGCAAATAATACAGCCCATTTATACATTCATGGAATGATAGAGCAAAGGCCAAGAAGTGATCCTAAGGGAGAAAAGAAATAATCATAGGAGGGAGGCCTAAAGAAGGACTGGGCTGCAAAATAGGATTGGAGAGATGCCCTTTAATAGGAACAAGCACCTTCTGAGGAAGGAAGGTGGCTACAACGGGTGACAGGTAGATTAAAAAGGACCAGTGAAGAGTTCCTGAGCTGGGCATGGTGGTGTCAGTATTCAGGAAGCCAAGGTAGGGTGAGTGCCACAAGTTTGAGGCCAGCCTAGGCTAGAGTGAAACTGTCTAAAACAGCAGCAAAAAAATCCCATTTGATGACTACCAGTGAAGTAAGAGGCATGGCTAGAAATAGGAAAGGAAGTGAAGTTTAGAACTATAAAAATTTTTATTTTTTATTTTTGGTTTTTCAAAATGTGTAGCTTTGCACCTTTCCTGGAACTCACTCTGTAGACCAGGCTGGCCTCGAACTCCTAGAGATCCGTCCGGTTCTGCCTCCTGAGCGCTGGGGAAAATGTTTATTTTTGAAGAGTGGAGAAATGCAGTTTTCTGTACCATTTAAATTCTGTCCATGAAAAGTGTTAAATTGTAATGGGAGACTGGAGAAATGTCTCAGTGGCTAAGAGTACTCGGTGTTCTTCTAGAGGACTTGAGTTTGGTTCCTAACATGCTTTGGTTTAAACAATAAAAAAGGGAAATAGGAGGTAAGAGTTGAGCTAGAGTTGAGGAGCTGTGATCAGATTTTATAGTCGATTGGATATTGTGAACAAAGTAAAGAGAATTGGGAATAAAATGATCATTGGGAGGGGGCAATAAAATGATCATTGGGAGGGTACTAAGCTTTGTTGTTTGATCCAGTTTGAACATTTCAGCCCCAACTTCAGAAACTTCTGGACCTCTTCCAGTGGGTCATCCACCTCCTTCAAGTAAGGATTCCAGGCCTCCACCTATGGGGACTTGTCCTGCTACTGGTGTGGAACCCCCAAGTTCCCCAGTCACCGAGTCTGAGGCTCTGATGGAAGATGTACTGAGACCTCTGGAACAGGCATTGGAGGACTGCCGTGGCCACACAAGGGTACGCCCTGGCACTTCAAGTGGTGGAAAGGACTTCTATCCAGTCAAATATGGTTCTTACAGACAGAGCTTCTGATGGGCCCTTAAGGAATCTCCTAAAGTCTTTCCAGGAAAATACTGATGTCAGAGGGATTCTCAGGACTTTTGAAGGACCAGCCCGTAATAGAGGCTTTGTAGGAATGAGTTGTATTTAATTCCTATTAGTGAATTATAAGCTTATTTATTTTTGTAACTTGAGGCCATTCAAAGTGTACTCTGTTGTTTCTGTGCTCAGTCTGGAAGAGATAGACAAACTTTGTATGAGGGTTCTTCGGTTCTCTGGAGACAAAGGATTAAAGAAAGGGGATGTAGCATGGCAGTCCCACCTTTGGTCATGTTTTCCTTATTTGAACAGTAACATTAAGATGGGTCTCTGAGGGGATGAGGAGGCACTGAAAATTTAAAATTCTCATCATGTGTGTCTTTTGTCTTTGGAGGAGATCCATAGGTTTCATCGCATCAGTAGTGGGAGGCGGGAAACCTCTAACCTTTGGGTAAAGGAATATGAACTCTAATGACCATGAGTCAAAGTGGTGAGCCAGACAAAGCACATACTGGCAACACTGAGTTGGATGGGTTTCTGTCTCAGAAGCAGGTATATGATGACATCAGCCGACGCCTGGCACTGCTTCAGGAACAGTGGGCTGGAGGAAAGCTGTCAATACCTGTAAAGAAAAGGATGGCGCTACTAGTGCAAGGTATGTGTGGGGCCCTTTATCCTGCTATGGATGGCTGAACTGACAGGTGAAGAGGTGTTTACTGATTGGGAGGGGAGGGGTGGAAGACATGACTTTTCCTGCCATCTGCTTGCTCAAGCTGTCTCTCCTCAGAACTTTCACACCACCAGTGGGATGCAGCAGATGACATTCACCGCTCACTCATGGTTGACCACGTGACTGAGGTCAGTCAGTGGATGGTGGGAGTTAAAAGATTAATTGCAGAGAAGAAGAGTCTGTCTTCAGAAGAGGCCGAACAAGAGAAATCTACAGTGGCATCTGAGAACCAGTACCAGGCTTCCAACAGTCTTCCTAATCTTGGGGGCTCCCCAGACTCACTCACATGATCTTCTGTGCCTTGGTGTGGAAGGCCTCTTCTCACGTGGCTCCCATTACCACCAGGGAGACTATCGGTCCTGTTGGGCCTGACCAAAGACCTACATGGGCCACTGCGAGATCACTTGTTACTCATAATATGTACATTTCAATAAACATCTCAATGGTGGGAAGGAGGTAGGAAAGGTGAGCCACTCTGGTGCCAGACTGGTTCTTCTGGTGTCAGCTTCCCTGCCCCATGAATAACATTCTTTGTTCCATTCATCAGGAATGGCCTTGATGGGCATAGCCATATTGCTACCTGCTTTTCTCAAGATTGGACTGAGAAGCACATTCTTTGTGATGTGGTACAGTGTTGTTGGTTAATTTCACTTCAGCCAGAGAATAGATTCAAACATCTGGAAACTGTCCTGTCAGAAGAGACCACACCTTTTGCTGTATTTTTGGTGCATTGTTATTAGAATCAGTGATTAGGGTTTCTGCTGTTTATACTGAAGGAGAAAAAGACCAGATTTCTCCCTTTCTTTTGCGTGTAGTAGCACACACCTTAGTTCCTAACATTTGAGACATGGAGGCAGAAAGGAGTTCAAAGTTACCCTGTACTCCAATGAGTTTGAGGCCACTTTTAGCTATCCCCAGCTTCACCCTGCTTTTTCTGCTTCCTACCTCTAAGTACCAATCCCCAGTTCAATCCTGGAAACCTGTGCCTTTCTCAGCATAACCACCAGTATATTTCCAGTCCAGCTATTTCTTTTTTTTAAAAGGGCTAGAAAAGATTTGGGGGGAGGGTGCTGGAGAGGTGGCTCAGCAGTTAAGAACACTGGCTGCTCTTCCAGAGGTCTGGAGTTCAAGTCCCAGTAATCAAGTGCCTCACAACCTTCTATAATGGGATCTGATGCCCTCTTCTGGTGTACAGGCATACATGCAGACAGAGCACTCTATACAGAAATAAATCTGAAAAAAGAAAGACTAGCCCAGCGGTGGTGCACACCTTTAATCCCAGCACTTGAGAGGCAGAGGCAGGCAGCTATCTGTGAGTTCAAGGCCAACCTGGTTTATAGAGCAAGTTCTAGGACAGTCAGGGCTACACAGAGAAACCCTGTTTCAAAAACCAAAAAGACTGGAACCTACTGGTGGTTATGCTGAGAAGGCACAAGGTTTCCAGGATTGAACTGGGGATTGGTACTTGGAGGTAGGAAGCAGAAAAGGCAGGGAGAAGCTGGGGATGGCTGTTAGCTGAAGCAGCATCTCTTCCACGAGTCCACTATACAAATGGATGGGAGTGGGGGCCTCACTTCCAGGAAAGACAGCAACAGCCTGAGCCCTTGGCAAGGCTCAGGCTGTTGCTGTTGTGGCCTGGGAACTCCAGCAGCCTTCTCTCATAGCCTGCCTCCAGCCCTAATTGCTGCAGGAAGTGGGCCAGAGGGAGCTGGGAACAGACTTGCAGCCTCTTAGGGCTGCTGGGTCCCTCAACTGTGTAGCTGAGAGTTGAGCACTGAGGAGAACGCTGGAGCCAAAGCATTTAGTTGAATTTTTACTAAGCAGCCAGAAGGTGACATACTCTGTCCCCCAGTGCCAACCCTGAGGGGAGAGCCAGGGTTTGGGAGGAATATGTATAGACCAGAGAAATCTAAGGGCTTGGCAAGTGCCCACTGCTATCCCTGGTCCAGCTGCCTCAGAACTAAAGGAAGCCCAGAACCAACAAGTCACTCTTCCAGATTAGATGAGGCCAGCTGGCCCTTGGATACCCTAGAAGAGGTGGTAGCAACAGTGGCATAAGGGATCCTTCTGTAACTCCACGCAGGTCAACTTGCATTGGCTCACATGTCCAGCTCACATGTCCATTTCAAATTGTTCGTCATCTGGGGAGAGAAGTCAAGAGAGCAGTTACTCTTCCTAACTTTTTGTAAGCCCAGTTAATACAGGAATCCTTCTTGGAATTGAACCCCAACTCTACTTCACAGATGCATTTAGTTGCTAGTCTCACTTTCTTACCGGTTATCTCTTCCTCTGTCTGCTTCTGTTCCTTCAGCAACTCCAGCTTGGAGGGTGGGACTGCTGGAGGAGTTGTGACCCCGGGAATCTGAGGGAGGCAGCAGGGAGGCGTCCGGGCAATGGGAGAGTTCTTGCACTCCAGCAGGAACTTTCGGTCGTAGATGATCCTGGTGCCTGTGAAGGAGTAAGGGCTGAAGTTAAGAACCAGGAACTTGAACACATTACTGCACAGCTAGGATTCAGCTGTCAAGTCACACCACAAAAGTCATGCCCAAACAAGTTTAGTCTAAGCAACATTAAGGCAAGTTGGACATTCTAGCTAATCTAAATAGGTGCTTTGGGCTAGGATAGTGGTGGTGGTAGTCTTGAGAAGGGGCAGCACACTTTAAACTCACGTACTTGAGGCTGTTACTCTACAGTTCCGTTCTTGTTGCTTTGGTATAGTGGGGCCTAACTGCCCAACCTCTCACCAAAAAGCTCAGTAACTTTTAAGAATTTCACCCAGTGTAGCCTCCTGGGCTCTAACACCTTGCAAGGAAGAGTTGCATTTCTTGGAAAACACTCCCACCCCCAAGTCCTTTAGGGCTAGCCTCACCCATGGGAACATGGCCAGCAGTGGCCTCAAAGAGCCCTGCCCTATTCTTGCTGTTCCCTTCTGATTCCACATGGCAGAAACCTGTCTGCCAGCCCAGCAGCTCACAACCCAGTGCTGCAACTACTTCATAATACTTGCTTTCTGTTGTGGCCACCTTCTAATGCAGTGGTTCTCTGGGGTCGTCTAAGACCATCAGAAAACAGATGTTAACATTACAATTCATAACAGTAGCAAAATTGCAGTTATGAAGTAGCAATGGGAAGAATTTTATGGTTGGGGATCACCACAACATGGAGCTATTTCAAAGGTCTCAGCATTAGGAAGTCTATTGGGACTTAAAACTATTCCTTAGCACCACTGACTTCGGTGCAGCATAGGCACGGGGCAGAGTCAATTCCTGCCCAGAAGCACCAGAAAGCCAGTTTTAAAGCGCTGTTGCACTGCTCTGAGTTTCTCTGTAAAACAGTTTCAAATGTCTCGCTGTAATTTGAAGAGAAGCCCGCAGAAGCAATTCCAAGGTCCGCCCCACCCCACCCCCACTGCCCTGCCCGCTGACCTCCCGGGGTAGTGGCATAGAGTGTGCCCCCCGGCGTGGTGCTGTAGCCGTCTGGGAGCCGGTCTCGGTTCCCTGGAATAGGGCAACTCGTAGACGTGGACATAGCGAGCAGCGCAGCGGGAAGGCAACAGTGGGTGCCTTGAAAGCCGGGAATGCCCGGAAAACAGGTCTGAGGTGTAGGCAGTCTCAGTTGACCACGTGTGGCAGCAGGCAACAACACTAAGATACGTCACACCCGGGGTGGGCCATTGGCCAGTCACTCAACCTAAGGGTTCCGCCCACTCGCTCAGGAACTCTCAGGATCTGCTCTGACTTGAGGGATGTTGAGAAGTTTATTTGCTAGTTACTCCTGGATGTTGGGAGGTATGGCTGTACCCATTTCTTTCAACAGTTTCAGGCAGTAATGCACTTATGAACCATGTTCTATGATAAAACATGCCCAGAGATCCCACCAGAGTGGCTAGAGTTTGGGTCCTTCTGCCCAGTGCCTCTGGTAGCAAATTGCTGTACTTGGTTTAAGTGTCTTGATGGCCTGCCTTTGAGCATAGCAGGAAGTCAGAAGCTTTTTGAAGGTGACACCAGGTCTACAAAAAGTAAATTAGGGGGTGGGGGAAGGGAAGGCTGTAGTCAAGACATCAAAAGTACAGAGGCCAGCTCTTTGATAGTCATAGCTAACTATGGACTTGGTGAGGAAGGCTTAGCCTGTTAGCTCTCTGGAAAGGAACATCAAAGGTAGGCTTGCCTTAGAGAATGGACTTTATTTTTTTAATTATTATTTTTTGACAGGATCACACTGTGTAGTCCTAGCTGGCCTGAACTTGGTATGTAGACCAGACTGGCTTTCAACTCAGATCTACCTGCCTCTATATCTGAGTATTGATTGCTTAAAGGCATGCATCACCAAGCCTGGCTGAGCTTGATATGACAGACAATTCCTGTTAATGCAGAAGCTGCAGGTTTTCAGAATCACACTCCAGGTAGCAGGTGCACATATATTTTATTCTTCCCCAAAAGGTACTGGAGTCTCTTACAAAGTGGTGCATATCTAAGCAAGCTGTGGATAATTGTCTGACAATTTCACTTTTAAGCAAACTGAAAAAATAACCTGATGGTTAAGAGTCGGCGCATGGAGTAGAGAGGATGTTGATACTGAAGATGAGTCCATTGGGCAGTAGCAATGGAGGCAGAAAAATGGATAAATTCAGATACACAAAAGGACCGAGTAGGGGCCAGTGAGATGGCTCAGCAGATTAAGGCACTTGCTGTCAAGCCTGATGGTCTAAGTTCCATCTCTGGGACCTTATGAAGTGGAAGGAAAGAACCAATTCCTACAAGCAGTCCCCTGACAAAGGCACAGCGACATGCACATGCATGCCCTTTCCCCCAATAAATGTAATAAAAATTTAAGGGTGGAAGGTGAAGTGATCTAATCAAGGGCAGGCTGAGGAAAATGGAGATAAGCTAGGGTAACTCCCAATCTCTTGGTCTGCGAATCTTGGTAGCTAGAACTGTAAAAGGGAAAACAAAAAGGAGCACATCTTGTATTAAGGAATGAATACTGTGTGCAAAGTAACAAGATAGAGCACTATGAGGAGCTATAATCAGAAGTCCAAGGGGAAAACTGTCTGCTTATTCAGATATGAATGAAATGAAATACAAGAGTATGGGATGTATCATCTGAGAAGATGCAGTGCGAGAAGAGGTCTGGCATACTAATATTTAATTAAGAAAGTGATTCACCAAAGAGACTAAGAAAAAACAGAAATAGAACTAAAGAGGCTGGCTGTATGTGGTGGCACATTCTTTAGTTCTAACACTGGAAAGGCAGAAGCAGGCAGATCCCTAAGTTTGAGGCTACCCAGGTCTACACAGTGAGATAACACAAAAATTATAGGGGCTGAAGATGTAGCCCAGCTAGCAGAGTGCTTGCGTAGCATGCCTGCGGTTCTAGGTTTGATCCCCAGCACTGCCAAAATGAAAATAAAACCCAAACAATTCTAGAGATTTTCAAGAAAGGTGCATGTGAAATGATGTCTTCCTTCTT